TGGATTTAGGTACTGGGGGGCTTTTTTTTGGGAATTCCCAAACAATTCCAACATTTGGGAAAGGATGGAAAACCCAAATGAGAGGAGGAAAACATTGGGAATTGGGAATTGGGAATTGGGAAGGGGTGGAGTTGATGCCGCATTGCTGAGAACATCCCACCAAGGTTGGGATTAATTTTTCATTCTAACTAAAATTGGACATAAATTTTTTCCATTCCACCAAAATTGGAAATAAAGTTTTTCCATCCCACCAAAATTGGCGATAAAGTTTTCCATAAATTTGGGAGTAAATTTTTCCATCCTACCAAGTTTGGGAATTAATTTTTCATAAGTTTGAGGAACATTTTTTCCATATGTCTGGGGATAAATTTTTCATTCCCATCAAAATTGGGGACAAATCTTTCCATAAATTTGGGGATAATTTTTTCCATCCCACCAAGTTTGGGGATAAATTTTTCCACCCTCAATCCCAGATATTTTCCTGCTGCTGGCAGAGTTTATTCCCAACCATCTGAAATCCTCAGAACATCTGGAGACCTCTGCTCCCTCCATCTCCCTGGCACCGTTTGACCCAGGGACACAGAATTTTCCATGAATTTTCTCCTGATTTTCCATGAATTTTTCTCCTGATGTTCCACGATTTTTCTCCTGATGTTCCATGATTTTTCTCCTGATTTTCCATGAATTTTTCTCAATTTTCCATAATTTTTCTCCCGATTTCCCACAATTTTTCTCCTGACGTTCCACAATTTTTCTCCCGATGTTCCACTATTTTTCACCCGATTTTCCATGAATTTTTCTCGATTTTCCATGAATTTTTCTCGATTTTCCATAATTTTTCTCAATTTTCCATAATTTTTCTCCCGATTTCCCACGATTTTTCTCCTGATTTTCCATGATTTTTCTCCCGATTTTTCTCCCGATTTTCCATGATTTTTCTCCTGATGTTCCACGATTTTTCTCCTGATTTTCCATGATTTTTCTCCTGATTTTCCATGATTTTTTCCCATCCCAGGGGAAGATGAGGATCAGTACGAGCAGTTCATGCTGCCCCTCACTGCTGCCTTCGAGA